GGGCCCCATGGATAGGAACTACCCCAGCGCCGGCTTCGGGGACCCGCTGGGCGCCGGCCCGGGATGGAGCTACGAGCGCTCGGCCAAAGCCAGGTGAGCAGGGCCGGGGCTGCCCCCACCGGGGACGGGGGGGCTGCCTGGGGTCGGGGCCCCTGCGCGCACAGGCACACACAGCCCATGCATGGGGTTAGGGGGCTCCTGGCAACCCCTGCCCTGTGCAACTCCCCTGCACCCGCCTGGGCCCTCTGCGTACAGAGATTCCCCCCTGCACACACACACACACACACACACACACACACAGCTGCGCGCACACACTCCAGGCATGGGGAAAGGGGGCTCCTTGCAGCCACTGCCTTGTGCATGGGGGGTCAGGCCCACTTGCGGCCTCCGTGGAGAGACATCCCCCCGGGCACACGTATACACACACACACTCTGCATGGGGGGAAGGGGGGGTTCTTTGCAGCCTTTGCCTTGTGCAATCCCCCTATGCACTCACTTGGGGCCTTTGCATACAGAGAGATCCCCCCGGAGTGTGTGCACGCACACACACACTCTCTCTCTCTCTCTCTCTCTCCAGGCATGGGACAAGAAGGGGCTCCTTGTATCCTCTGCCTTGTACATGGGGTCCAGGCCCACATGGGGCCTCTCCATGGAGACATATCCCCCCTAAACAGACACACATACATACATACATACTGCATGCATGGGAGGGTCTGGGGTCCAAGTCCCCCCTTTGCAGCCCCTGTCTTGTGCATGGGAAGAAAGGAGGCTCCTTGCAGCCCTGCTTTGTGCATGGGGAAGGAGGATCCCCTTCCCTTTCCTCCCTCCAGTGCACCCCCATCCCCCCAGGGAGGGTGGCTTGGGGATCAGGCTCACTTGTGGTCTCTCCATAGAGAGAGAGATGCCCCCCTTCCCTTCCACCCACCCACCCACACACACACACACACACACACACACACACTCTCTGCATTGTGGGGGGGGGCCTTGAAACCCCTGCCTTGTGCATGCAGTGCTGTCCCTTCCTCCCGTAGCACCCCTGCATGTGGAAGGAGGTGCAGGAAGGGGCTTCCTTGCAGGCTGCATAGGGAGTGGGGCTGCAAGAAGAAGACTGCTGCCTTGTTCTGGACTGGAGAAGGGAGGGGGGGGCCTTGGGGAGCTGGGAGGGTTGTGAGCCCCACCCCCTCCAAGTAGATGCACAGAGTTGGGGTGCATGGCTGCCCCCCACTTCCATGCACATGGGGTTTCAGCCCCCAGAGCACCAGAGAAGAGGATGCATCAGGTCCCCCCCCTCCTTGCTATGGGCATGAGAGGAGGGGGCATTGGGGGCCCCACTTTGTGCATGGGTAGGGGGTGGTGTTGGCCATTCCTGGTGGCTGTATTGGGGCAGGGGCCCCTTCTGGCTGAGTGGCCAGGTTGCAGAACCTGTGATATGGGGCTGGAGGACAGGCCCCTCGGAGGGCAGAGCTGGGGGGGGGACAGGCAGGGGCTGGCAGCAGAGGCTGATGTTGGTCTCAGTGGCTTTGAGGTACAGCCTGGGAGGCTCTGTGGAGACTGATCAGCTCTCAGGGAGCAGATGCTGGTTTCCATGTAGGGCAGCCCATCAAGCATGCAATTCAGGATTCCTGGCTTTGAGATCCCCAACTCCAGCTCTGACCCACCAGACCTCACTCCTCCAGGAACTGGGACAGGACCTAGGAGTCCTGGCTCCCAGCTGTGCCAGGTGCGACCTGCCAAACCCCACTTTCCACACCAGGCTGGATGTAGAATCCAGGTGTCCTGACCCCAGTGCCTTGTTGGACAGTCCATTCACCAGCTGGAATGGAGGCTGTAGACAGGGAAGTGAGAGCACCCCCTCTGCTGTGCCGCACCCCAAAGGTGGCCGCATCTCAGTGCAGGGTGGGGGTCCCTGTAGGACCAATGAAGGCAGCCTCCAGACTATTACTCTGATTCCTGGACACCTGGGTTGTATCCCAGCTCTGAGAGGGAGGTGGGGTGTAGTAGGTTTGAGCAGGGATTGCTGTGAGCCCGGATGCCTGGGTTCTACCTCAGCTGTAGGAGGGAAGTGGCAACTGGTAGGTTATGACGAGGGGGTGCTGGGAATGAGGACACCTGGGTTCCATCCCAGCTTTGATGTGGCCTTCTGCTGAGTGCCTCAGTATCTCCTAGCAGCCTGGACACGCTCTAGTCTGGGCATCAGAGTGGTTTCCAGACACCAACTGGTAGGGCAGGCAGGGGTCACTGAGGCTGCTATATTGTGGCGCTGTTGCATGGTCCACAAGGTCAGAGCAGAGAAGGGTTGGGAGCCCGGATGCCTGGGTTCTTTCCCTGTTCTAGGAGGGGTGTGAGTGGGGTCTACTGGGTTAGAGCTAGAAGGCTGGGAGCCAGGGTTCTGTCCCAGCTCTGAGGGAATGTTGGCTCAGAACAGAGTCAGGGTTGGGAACTAGGATGCCTGGTTTCCCTCCCATTCTGGGAGCGGGAGAGGGGTCTAGCAGGTCAGAGCTGGGAGCCAGGTTGCTTGTGTTCCCGCTACCAGCCTGGGAGGAGCGGGGCTGTGCAGTCTGGACCTCAGATCAGCCAGGGACAACTGGGGCCTACCTGTACCCATGTGAGCTTTCTCCATCCATGCTGTCTTCCCAGGGGTGTGTTGGGTGGGGGTGGGGAACAGAGCCACTTCCACCCCCTGATCCTGGGTGCAGTTCCCAGCCTGGGGCTGTGACTCTCCCTTGCTCTGCTTCCCCCACCCCCTGCCTCTTGTGCCCTCTGGCAGAACCCTGCCTGGGACCTGCATTCTTTGCCCCCAGGGGCAAGAGTTTGCAGTGGGCATCACCTGGGTTTGCCCCTGCATTGGCTCCATGCTCCTTTCCCACTCCCCAATGCACACAGACCAGGGTGCCTGCTGGGTCCCCCATGCTCAGGAGGCAGCTCTGGGGTGTCAAGTGCTTGCTGCCTTTGCAGCCCAACCTGTGGCCATGTGTCTTGCTGTGCCAGCTGGGCAATGTCCCCCTGGCATTTTGACTATGCAGTGTCTAATGTTTGGCTTTGCAAGCACCATGGCCTTCCCAGAGAGGGTGCCCAGCAGCCCCACTAGCAGGCTAGAGGGTTGTGCCCACCATGTGGGGCACCATCCTCTTCCACCTCCCAGCCTTGGCCCTGGTCTTCCACAGGCCTCACGTCTGCCTGATGCAGGTGGCAATGCCCCTGTGGTCTCTGCTGGTGGGATCTCCCCATACCCCTGTGCCCCATTCTGTAGGGCAACCCCAGCTGCACTGGGGGGTGGCACTTACCTGTGGTGGGGGGTTCAGGTGTAACCCAGAGGATGGCTGGACATTGCTGTACAGGCTGTCCTATCTTCTGGGTAGTAGGACACTAGTGGGTGTAGGCTGGGGAGGCACTCTGCAAAACCCAAGCAGGGCTGCCTGGCACAGAGTGCATACCCATCCCCTGGTGCCCAGGCCCCTGCTCCACACATGGCCCAGAGCAGGCCACTTCTTTGCTGTGGTCACCAAAGTGGGTAGATGTGATCTCTGGTGGTCCAGCCCCTGTGCTCCCACTCCCTCACCCAGTCTAGGGTGTATCGGGGGGGGCGCATCTGCGTGGCTGTAGGGATGAAGAGCAGAGCTGAGAGTGGGGGCTGGTAGTAGGATGCCTGGGTTCCCTCCCAGCTCTGTTGCCCGGCAGCTGCCTCTAGGGAATGGATGTCTGGAGAAATTGAAATCCAGCCTGTTCTAGGGCGGGAAAGAGCCCGGGGTGGGCAGCGGGCTGCAGGCCA